AGGACCTTGGACATCACTTGCTCCAACCCATAGAGGTTAAATGATCAGTCCAAGCTCCATAGCTCCTCTGTGCTAGACAGGACCACCACCCTAGCTAAAATGAGCAGCCAGATGTTGGGCAGGTTTGGGGGCTAGACCATGTCCCTATCAAGCCAGGAAACTGTCACCTTCCACTCATGACCTCAGGGCTGAGCCTGGCACCCAGGCCAGCTTGGATCCAGTTCTCAGTCAAGGGGAAGCCAACTCTTGGCGTGGTCCCACGTAATCTTTCTGTGCTCTCATTCATTCATGTCCAGGGATCTGTTTTTATTTACTTGTTTTTATTCTTGAGAAAGTGTTACCAGTTGGAAAAGGAAAATCCTCTCCTCTGTTGAGCTGTAACCAAAGGAAAGTATGGGCCAGAAAGCACATTTTGCAGCAAGGCGGGTTTGTTTGAAGCAAACCTCTGAGTCTATCAGGACTGCTGAAAACTGCCAACTTTGAACTCATTTTCTTTGAAGTAATGATATGAGTAGAATAGAAACAAGCCTTCAGGATGGAGTATCCAGACATAAGTTAATTAAACTGGCTTTGGGGATTTCCCTTGTTTACTGATTGTCTACATACATTGCAGAGTACAGAAAACTATAAAGAAAATATAAACTATTATTACTCCAGCCACTCAGAAATTAATACTGCTAAGGTTTTTAAAAATGTGTATCCTTCTCCTCTTTTTCTCAAAGCATAAAAAATATTTTTAAGTGGGTCTATGTTATTCAAATTGTGTTGTAGCTTGCTTTTTTCTCTTAATTTATCATGAATATTTTGCTGGCAATAGCCTGATTCTGATGACTCATGTGCATTTAAACTAAGTCAAAGTGTATGAATTCCATAAATAATGAATATAACAATTTGTTTACCTAACATCGATTACATACCTGGTCCCTGCCCCCTCAGAACCTGGACTGGATGGGAAGCTTTGAGATGGGTTGATGGCTGGGGGGCAGTCTGGTCTCAAGCAGCCCCAGGAAGTGAAGCCAACAAAGTTGCCTCCTGTCCTGAGAGATTCCAGAGAGTGCTAATCTTTTACAGAATAAATGGATGGGAGGTAGAGGAAGAAAAGGGAATGGAAAACACACTTTGAATCATTTCAGCGAAAAACTTGAGACTCTCAGGTTCTAGATGGTTTCTTATGAATCAAAACCTCTAAACACCTGGGGACAACTTGGAGGTGGGTGTGACTCCAAGGCCAGGTGATGGAGCATTGAGGTTACCAACACAGGGCAGGATTCCCACCTCTCCTGCCTGCCAGCAGTGTGACCTGGAGTAAGTCACTTAACCTCCTGAGCCTCAGTTTCCTTACCTGTATAAGGAAGTCATATTGGTACCTACTTTGTAAGTTTGCTCTGAGGATTAAGTGCAGTAATCTAACGATGCTGAAACATGGTAAATGCAATAGATATTGATTATGGTTACTGCTGTTGCTACTATTCTTTTAACATATTGAATGCTGGGATGTAACTTTTAAAGCGTCATTTTAAGGTAAGGTAAGTTGAGTTATCTGGAGCTCCGCATTTGAGTGTTGAGCCGTACTGAAATGCATTTAGAAATGTAAGAATTCTTGAAAATAGTTCTCCTTAGTCATGCCTAAGTAAAATATTACTGGAATGTGATGTGCTAGTAAAATAATCCTTACAGAACTAGTTAGTGCTTGAAGATCTTGCCTCCTTTGTATTATACATTATGTCTAAAGGGCTTCGTGAAATATCTTATTTTATTGATTCCAAATTGCAGACTTTCCACATTTTAATATCTCTAAATCAGGATTTGTCTTAAGATCAACAGTGTGTCATATTTAACAGTGTGTTTTCTTTCTTAGTAATACCTAAAATAATTCAATTTAAGATTGATGACATCTTAGATTTAATAAAATAGGTTCATTTCTTTGTTAATGTTTTAGGCTGGGGAGGCTTTGGCCCTGTTTTGTAGTTATTTATTCTGTTTCTAGTAATTGGAAACACCAGTGTTCTCAAGAGGATCATTCATCAATATTTAATATATTTTTTAATATAAATTTCTTTCCCAACCTCAGATAGTTTTCTATAATTTAATCCACTGGGGGAGCACTAAAAATCAGTATTTCTGCTAATATTTTATATATTGACATCATAAGATAAAAATATCATGTATTAATATTTCTATAAGTGTGGGGAGCACTTATAAATTATAAAACCCAACTTATTTTTCTGTAATGGTAAACTGGTTGATCTTCAAATGCTGCCATGTCAGTGGTTCATATAATGATGTAAACATATATGCATACACCCCCCCATTTTATATACATATATATATAACTTAAATATAATAAAAGAGACTTTGGTTTATTTAACAATTTTCATTCATTATGTCTCTTAAAGGGATTCAACTTAGGCTTGTTGATATATTAAAAAATTATAAAATCCATTAAATAATATCAATGTGATGCTTATTTCCTGCCTAGGATTTTAAAAATGCATTTTAACTTAATATTACATTCTTCCAGAATTGAATAATTGGTTATTCATCATTAGAAAATGTCCATCTAATTATGAGAATTTCAAAACTACCCCATCCTCCGAAAGGAAAATCACATTTTTGCCACTAGATACTAAAGTCTTTCTAAAAGACTAGATAAAGTCTTTTTTAAAGTCTTTTAGAAGCTTGAAAGGTTTGTTGTGTAAAGTTTCTTTGTTTTAAATGATGGCTTCCACCAATGCATTAACTTTAAAGGGCTTTCTTTCATTTTGGTTACTTTTGATTTATGAGTAAAATATATATATATACTTAAGAGAGACCAATAAATCCATAGCTTTTTGAGAACCCATGGGGATATTTTATAAAGTATTTAATAATGCCTTTTCTGAAACCAACTTTAGCCTTTATCTTAAAAATCTTTTAAAATTTATGAAATATTTCATACACACTTTAAAAATTCAGCTTTAGCCTTTTCTAAGAAACTTCTACTAAAAAACACAATAGCTGTTAACTTGTTCTCTTTAGTTGTTGAGGTGTTCTAGTTAGCATTTAATTCAACCTTTCACTTATCTTTACCATGCAGCTATTATAATAGCAGGAGAATTTTGGACTTCATTCTAGAGTCAATTGGCTCCCAATGAAAGTACAATGTAGAATTACATTGATTTTGTTACAGAAGCAATACATATTCATTGTACAACATTTTGGAACACATAAAATATATGTAAAGAGAAGGAAAAATCATCAAAAATTTAAGCATATTAAAAATAATTACTGTTAACATTTTGTATTTCCTTACTGTCTTTTTATATACATTACAGTATATGTATTAGCAGGTATATTTGTATGTATGTTTAGGCATATATATAATCTTACACATGTAGACATCCTACTGTATATACAGTTTACATTTCTGTAACTTAACATTAGATATTAATTATTTTCACATATTAACTATTGTTTAACATCTTATTTTTTTAATGTTTGCATAATATTTTCCTTTATGGACATACAATAATTCATTCAACCTTCCACAATTGTTGGGCATTTAGGTTGTTCCAAATTTTTTACTGTTATAAATGCCTTCAAGATAAACCAATACAATTGAAGTGCTACTGAGAGAGGAACATGACAGTGATGTGCCAAGTGGATTAGATCGTGAGATCCGCATCAGAGAGGCCCCTAGTGGAAGAACAGGGAGTAAAGGCCAACCGTGGGTCCTAGCTGCAGCACATAAAGGAAGAGACGGATGGGAAAACCATCATGTTAGAAACTTGTCAGAGTGGGAGCTAAAAGAGAAAGAAGGAAGGAAGAAAAGACCACAGTGGTGTGTTGGACTTGCAAAGAGAGAGAACCTACCCAGGGATACAAAGTGGAGTGGGAAGGGGGATGGGGAGGGAGGTTGGGGATAATTGGGGGGATAATTGAGTCGGGGACACGGGGGTATAATCACAATTTGTGGTAATTGGCATGCTGCCAGCATGGATCTGGCTGTCACATCTTAGGCTCTAGTGATAACAATTTGCTTTGTACTCCATGAATATTCATAACTAATAAAAAAAGAAAAGAAACTTTTCAGGACTTGGCAAATAATGAATACTCATGAGGTATGAGTCAAAGATTAATCCAAGGTTTAAAATTGTATGATGGGAAAAACTGGTACCGTAAACAGAAATTGTCAGATTTGGAGGAGGGACAAGCGTGTTGAGTGTTAGCCATTTACATGACCCTGATGATCAGTTGAGCCAAACAAGCTTTGAAGGATTCTCAGGGCTGGAGATGAAAGTACAAGTCGTAAGTGGATAGAGAACGTAGTGGTGAACCCATGGGAATCACTGATGCGTTGGAGGGTGATTCAGCACAGGCGGAGGAAAACAGGGCCAAGTTGAAACCTTTAGGAATGACCCATATTTTGATGAAAAGAAAAGGAATAAGAACCAGTGAGAGAAGAGTAGCCTGAGAGAAAGAGCGAGCGAGAGAGAGAGAGAGAGAGAGAGAGAATGAATTAGAACGCCGGTTATAGTCATTGGAACAAAGAGAGCTTCAAAAATAAAATCCGCAGTGCTAAGAGACACAGACAGTTACACCCAAGACAAGTCACTGAGAGGTTAATTGTAACCTTAAAAACAACAATAACAACAGAACACTTCACTGGTGACATGACCCTAAGCCAGCTTGAAAGGCATTCAGGAGCCAGTGGGTAGGAACTGTGATTTTGAAAATTTGGTGGTGGGAGAAAGGAAAAGCTGTGGTGGACATCTGAGGCAGCCCCAGGAGGGTTGGGGGGACAGTGAATGACATGTGTCCTCCCGTCCTCCTTCACAGGACGTCTCCTTCCTACAGATCCAGACTCTCACCGTAAAGCACCTGGGAAATACAAGACCGAATTCGTATGTGCAGCCCACCTTGTTGGCCTGAGAATGACCACTAAAAGAAAAAAATTCCTTTACCTTTTTAGAAACTTTACAGGTATAATTTATTCAAGGGTGAAAAAAAATCTTTTTCAGGCAACCACTGAAGAAACTGAACCGAACAGTCAAGAAGATGAGAATGATGGT